GGAGTCAAAGGGATTGGAGCATTAGAGCCCAAAATATGAAGGAAAGAAGAGTTCAGAGCGGGCGCTCTAGATATGGAGCGGGCGCTCTGTATTCCTTGCTGCAGAAAAACCAAGTACCCAACCCTCAGAGCGGGCGCTCTAATGTTGAAGCGGGCGCTCTAGCTCCCAGAATAATCAGAGCATTTTCTGCGAGACTTCAGAGCGGGCGCTCTGGCCTTAGAGCGGGCGCTCCGTGTTCCCCTGACCGATTTGAACTCTGCTACACGCGTAGGCCGACGGCTCTAATTATTTTACTCTGCACGTGATGCCTAAAATTTTGGGCCTTGATTTGGGTTAGGTTTTAGAGGAGGGTATAAATACCTCTCTTCCTTGTAATTGGGAGGAGGGAGGTATGTAGAGAGAGAAATTTTAGAAAATCAGATTTCAGCTTATTGTTTTTTCTTCTTTCTTTTGCACTTTAGATTAGTTAGGGTTTAGTTCCTCATTAGATCTAAAACACTACTCTTTGTTACTCTCTTTCATTTTCAATCCAAGATTAAATCTTTTGGTATTATTTCTATCCCTACTCTTTATTTATTGCTTTATTTATCTATTTTAATTAGTTTTAGCTTATTTTTAGTTGTTATTTCAAGTCAATAGAATAGTTTAATATCTTAGTTGCCTCCTTGTTTAAACTTGCAATTTCTGGTTTTGATTCTTTATTTTCTTGCTATTAGTATAATATTATCTTTATTTGCTTAGATTTCATGCTATTTAGAATAGATTACAAGTAGACTTAACATATTCTCTTCAAAGTTAACTTCTTTAGTAAAGTTTAATCATCCTATTTTCTGGTTTTAGCCATGTTTCTCTCATTAAACTTAGTTTTTGCTTTTGTTAATGTTCTTGTGTGCTTTGGTATGACCCTTCCTTCTCTAGGCTAGGTTTCTAGCTAGGGGAGGGGGAAATGATGAACTAATGATGAAATGAATGATATGTGGTGCAAGATTGGGTAGATTGAGAAGTTTTGCAATTGATTCCAACCTAGGTTTTAGTTGTTAGGATTTAGAGATTGATCACCTCTAAGACCCTATTTTGTGTTGCATGCTAGTTGCGCGAGAGTGAGCTTGTATGTGATGATGACTAGGTTAGGGATGACCTCGACCACCGAGGCGGGGTTGGGTAGGCGGTGTTTAGGTGAGCCCGAGAGGGAATCCTAGATGTTGGACCATAGGCCCCAATTGTTTGGTTGACCAATTGAACCATTCTTGTTGCCTCTAATCGTTGAAATCATTGTTAGTTAGGAATTCTCCCCTATCCCCTAGTGTTTGCTATTCCTTGATTTTCGAAGTTTTATACCTCTGCTTGTTGCTTGTTAATTTAGTTCTTAGTTTATTTGTTTCCCTAGTAGCTATAGATAAATCCATCAAAAATTTATTCCTCCCTTTTCAATTGACTTATAAGTGATCTAAGCAAGAGACGTTTGACCTTCCCTGAGGATTCGACCCCTCTTCCACTATGCTACCTTTGGTTAGTTTAGGACGTGGGTTTTCTTTTTATTCTTGACTCGACCTTTAGGAACTAACGACACCTAGGGGGCCGATCACCTTTTCAATTCCAAACTGCAAAACATATCATTATGTGTAACCTGAACACAAAGTTAACAAATCATAATCTACAAGTTTGAAAAAGAAATGTCATTAATACATATCATATGCATTACACAAGACTGGTGAGTAGACCACGTAGTATTTCATAAAATACGCTTATTTCCCTATTGCATTTACAAGTCATACCAAATATTGTACTTTCCGCATCCTCGTCGTAAAGAGGATCCCATGGGTTTAAGTTCTTCTCGTGCTGTAGTTTTTGTTTGCAGAATATTTTCGGTTGTGGCATATGATGTACAATCATATGATTGTGCATCCAATTTGAAATCGCCATTTCACGTAACTTCCTTCTCCACTAGCAGATCTGATGCTGTTGATAGTGTTCTCCAAAAGCTTAACACCCCTTTCTTCTTCTCCGGTGTATATGTATATGAGGCTTACTACATATGCTACCACTGAATTCTGCAACTCCGTTGCTCTTTCCAACATTGTCAAACCTTCGTCTACCACCAAGGTGTTTGAAGTATTGTCGCTACGGTAAAGAGAAATGCTAAAACAGTGACTAGAAGTCTACAACATAAATTCTAACGAATAAAATTCACAATAAATGAGAAAGAAGACGTACAAATCCAAACTCAAGTAGAGCTTCAGGATGTTCATTCTCCACGCACTTCATGAAGAACTTCTCCGCCGATTGTCGGTGTGGCCACGACATTCGTGTTTTAATCCAACGGAGGTGAATTTGTTGAAGGACCCCTTTTTCTTCAGCTATCCGTCGTAGTATTTTACAACTATTATCAAGTTATACTGCAGAAATTAGATTATTACATTCTCCGTATATGTGATAAGAAACAGAGTGCATGTTGCAAGTATAAGCTTACCTTAATTTGCATCGAAATAAATCAGCAGGGGATGACTTAGCAACGAAACTTAGAATGGCCGCCAACACTTCTGACGGAAGGATGTCAGCCATGGAAGTTGTAAATTTTCGCCTATTCGCTTCTACATCCATTTTTGATTTTCTTGGACAGGAAGATCGCTTTGTTCGAATAGAAGGAAGTTAAATTTTTTGCAAAAAGTGTTTGACACATAAATAGACTTCAAAGTGACAGTTCACCTTCATGCATGGGAGTGGATGTAGTTGTTTGGGAGTTGTGATGATGATGGTGGATAATTGAATTAGTGGGGGAGAATTATAAACCGGCGAGGATTTTTTGGAAACTGCCAATTAGAAGTTACGCATGCATATATTAATGAATGGTACATATCTTACGCAATAAAAGTACCAAAAAATGTACCACTATACCAAGATTTCTAGATGGACAGGGTAAGTTATTAATATATCTAACACATAATTTAAATCGAAGAATTTGTCCTATAAAAACGGAAATATTGAATGAATAGACCGCAGATAATGAGATTTTACTATTTTTTTTCTTCTTTTTCCCTGTGGGAAGATATTGATAGGCGGGGAAAATGGTGTCATCATTTGCGAATACAATTTCGTTCTGTGCATGTACCCAAAAACTCATTTTGGCTCGAATCATTAACAGAAAGAATCAAATGATTATGGTGATACATTCGAGTAATGAAACGTATTACAATTAGTTAACTATATTTCTTGTCACCCGAATTTTCCAACAAAATCGCTTTATTTAAACTCTAATCATATGACAATGAACCACTGGAAAAAGAAATGGGTTATACCTCTTTAGGATGGTACCAATCGAACGTGTCAAGTTTGAGGTACGCCTTGTTATTTGATCCAGGGTACCACTAAGACAACATAGATACCACTGTATTCAAGGTGGTACAAATCAATTTAGAGAATGAACCACTATAAAAGGAAATGGATTATTAATAACCAGAGTGGTACAAATACCTGCGGCGTAGGAGAACGTTTACATCACCCAACTAGTCAAGTTATTAATAACTAATTACTAGTCAAGTTTGTAATAACTAAGTCGTCATGGTACACTTGGGTGATTTGTAATGATTTGTAATTCAGGATGTTCGGATATTTACGATCACTGTATAGCACTGTTATTGGGTACTTTCAACGGCACTGAGCCGGTTCAGTCCCATTTTTTGCCGTTACACCTACATGTACCAACAGTAGAGTTCTCTTAGTGACTAAATCTTTTTCCTTCAATTCTGTCTTTGAATCGATGTAGGTTGTTAAACCATTTTACCAATCAAACGTGTCATACGCCTTGTTTTTTGATCCAGGGTACCACTAAGACAACATAGATACCACTGTATTCTAGGTGGTGCTAATCAATTTAGAGAATGAACCACTATAAAAGGAAATGGATTATTAATAACCAGGGTGGTACAAATACCTGCAGCGTAGGAGAACGTTTATATCACCCAACTAGTCAAGTTACTAATAACTAATTACTATTCAAGTTTCTAATAACTAAGTCGTCCATGGTACACTTGGGTTATTTGTAATTCATGACGTCCAGATATTTACGAAGTACACTTGGGTGATTTGTAATGATTTGTAATTCAGGACATTCGGATATTTACGATCACCGTATAGCACTGTTGTTGGGAACTTTCAACGGCAGTGAGCGGGTTCAGTCCCATTTTATGTCGTAACACCTACATGTACCAACAGTAGAGTTCTCTTAGTGACTAAATCTTATTCCTTCAATTCTGTCTTTTAATCGATGTAGGTTATTAAACCATTTTACCAATCAAACGTGTCATACGCCTTGTTATTTGATCCAGGGTACCACTTAGACAACCTAGGTACCACTGAAGTGGAGTTGGTACAAAGACACTTACAAAATGAACCACTAAAAAAGGAAATGAATTATTAATAACCAGGGTGGTACAAATACCTGCGGCGTAGGAGAACGTTTACATGACCCAACTAGTCAAGTTACTAATAACTTATTACTAGTCAAGTTACTAACAACTAATTCGTCATAGTACACTAGAATCTTAGTGATTTGTAATTCAGGGTACCACAAAGACAACTTAGGTACCACTGTAGTCTAGTGTCAATAGGTAGGTATCTTTCAATGTTCTGCCAAAGCCTTGGGTCTGAAAACAGTTAGTGTCTTAATTCACTTTCAATGTAATATCTTCAATAGGTAGGTATCTTTGAAAATTCTGCCAAAGCCTTGGGTGTAAAAACACTTAGTGTCTTCATTTACGTTCAATGTAATATCTTCCACGATCTAATCAACAAAATTAACATAAATTATGGATCCAAATACTCTTAAAATACCAAAGCGCCGAACAAAACGCTAACACTAAAAAAACAACCAAAAAATCACCCAATTATCCTACATCATGAAAATTGTCTTCAAACTCCCCCTAATCACCCACTAAACTTAACCTTTACCTTAAACTTAAACATATTATGTAGATTACATAACTAAACATAAAAAAACCAAACTAATCCCAAGGATTGTAAAAGCTAGTAGGACTGGTCCGCCTGTAAGCATTTGAATCGGCTGAGCCGCTGTTGTCAGCATAAGAGGGACACTCACCTCCACCATCATCAGAGCCAGAACACCAGCGTCCAACATGACAAGTTTCAGAATCATCTTCTTCATCATCTTCAGCAGTTGCACCCCCGTCCTCATCCCTATGTTCATCATCTTCATCTTCATCTTCATCTTCATCTTTTGCATGTTCGTCATCCTCATTATCTTCATCATCGTCGTCCTCATCATCGTCATCCTCATCATCTTCATCCTCATCATCAACATTCCCCTCTTGATTCTGGTCCTCCATCTCCTCATCACCATTACAATCATCAGTACCACAAACAGCCACAGCACCATCCCTGTCCTCCTCGATAATCCTCTCAACAGGTGGGTCATTTCCAACAGCCGTGTCATTTCCGGCATAACCTGACATTGAACGGATTGCGTGAATTTCCCTCTGAAGGCATGCACACTACTACATTTTAGACCTAATACAACGACTAGCAACCGTCACATTTGCTAGGGTTGGATTAGGTCTAATGCAACGGTAAAATGGACCTAATCCAACGGATTGAGTAATCCGTTGGATTAGGTCCCTTTCTTTTTTTTTTTAGAATAACTAAACCTAATACAACGGATTCGTCCCCAATCCATTGTATTAGGTCTTTTTTTTTTCTTTTTATTATTATTATTATTATTATTATTATTATTATTATTATTATTATTATTATTATTATTATTATTATTATTATTATTATTATTATTATTATTATTATTATTATTATTATTATATTATTATTATTATTATTATTATTATTATTATTATTATTATTATTATTATTATTATTATTATTATTATTATTATTATTATTATTATTATTATTATTATTATTATTATTATTATTATTATTATAAACAAACAAAGTCATACAACCTACATTAAATTAGTGGGATGCCGAGATACGATCTGGGCCCCACTCCTCTAGCTATTGCAAAGCCTAACCAAGTGAAGATATGAGTTGCAACACGAGCCCCAATGTCTTGCGTCGTCAAGAACCTCTGAACCCGCTTCAACAACGCAACAGCCTCCTTCTCTAATTCCCCAAGCGAAGAAAAGGAGAAGGGAATGAAACCATATCCGATCAGCCGACATCTAGGTTCATATTTCACCCTCTTTCGATAAGCCGCATCAGCTACAACCTGTCCAGAAACAAAGTCAGATAACCCTGTCTGTGTCAAAGGATAAGACCCTGTTAAGTCCACACATACATCACGACCACGATCCTAGGAATAAAGTAGCACATCAGCAGGTCTCAAGGCCCCATCATTTCCTCCAGAGAACCCTATGTCAACCTCCTTCCTTGCCGAAATTCAAGATCTGTAGCAAATATCAACAAGGATATCCCGGACAACATTATGCCGATGTTAATACCCACAATACCAGCACACGATACTGCGTGATCACCGAAAATATCCCCAGTAAAAACCCGAGAACAAGCAGAGCACGGCGCCGAGATAGAGAACAATGGAACACCCATCCGGTAGCACAACACACATCGGTAGGTCTTTGCGTTCATCGTCTGACCCAATCCGGAAATAGGGACCGCTCGAAGCCAAGAGGAGGAGTGATCTCCCTGCTGCGATGTCCACAAAGTCGATTGCCGAGGAGACAAAGAAAAGGTGGATTCTGCAGAAGCGGTAACCTTTGTGAAGTATATATCTGCCAATTTCTTCATGAGTTTAGGGGCAGCGACCTCACTAAGATTACACATAATGTCAGACTCGACCGTTCTATTGAACAAGCTCAACGCATCCTCAAAGGCTCGACCAAGGCCAACAACGCCAGCATGCCGTAGAAGCCTTGTCTACAACCCAGCAGACTGCAACCGGGAAGCAAGAAAAGCATAATGACGAACATCACCTGTAGAATAAACACCCAGCCCGCCATACGCAAAAGGCAAGGTGGCAAGCCGCCACTGCCAATCACCAAACCCAGGCCCTGAAGTAGTAACAATACGCTCCAAGGAAGATCTAAGAGCCCCGTCGAATGTATGCTGAGCAGTCTCAAAAGTGCTAGGAGGACAAGTACGCAATGCAAAGTAGAGTTTAGAAACTCCGGTACAAGCCCTAAGCAGCAACAGCTCGCACTGAGGATCATCAAGCTTAGCAACCCTATCCATAAGCGCAATGGTCTTGGTCACCCTCTGCATCACAAGCTCACCTCCAAAACCAGAATCGGAACTAGCGGGACAAACAAGCAACTTAACAACACGCAAGGGTTGAGCAATATTAGGTGGAAAGACACCCACAAGCCTGCTTCGAGGGTCTTCCGAAGGCCAAAATACTTCAGTTTTCTCCACGTTAAGATGTAACCCAAAACGAGGCCCTTCCTCCATAATCAAATGCAGAACCTTCCCCACAACCAATGTGTCACCAATAAAGGTACCATAATCCAAATACCAAGTCTAAAGACATACATCAAAAGTGTCTCTGATTTTACACACCAGGGGCTGTAAAACCAAAGCAAAAAGCAGGGGACCAAGGGGATCACCCTGCTGCACCCCCTGAGATGACCATAAGGTGTGGTCCCCATAATACAATCTAGCTGGATTGGAGTAGCAGAATTGAACCCATCGCGAAAGGCCCGGACAACGAAGACGAACTTCGCGCAACATTGCCGCACGATCAACTAGATTGAAGGCATTTTGAAAATCCACCAATAACATAGAAAGACGAACATCGGAACCACGATCCTCAATCAACCAATTCCCAGCATGAAGAATCGCCTCACCTCCCGAAGAAACTCCAACACCAAATTAGAGACCATCAAAGTAGCTTTCTAAAGACTGAGCAACCATAAAAGCACCGACCTTCAAAACCAGTCGCCGCCAAACATACCAACAGCTATAGGACGAATACCACCACCAAGCTTGACAAGTGGAGTAAGAGGAGCACTAGCAATATACCCTCCCAGCTCCATAGGACACTTTCCAGCTAGAAAGAGATTAATCACCCCAGAAATAGAGTCAACTAACTCATTTGATACAGCCACAGCAGCACCACTCAAGCAATCCATAAGGTGCTGAGCACGTAAACCGTCCCTACCACATGATGTGCCACGAGGAAAACTCTTAATCCGATCCAAAACAACATCAGAAGTAGTAACGAGATGAAGGCCATCAACAGGTATATCAGGCAAGGATGGAGCTGGAGAAGTAGGGTGTTTAGACTGTAAATCCGCGAGAGTATCATCATTATAAGGAGGAACGCCTGAAGAAGAAAGAACCCGAACAGCAGCAGTGTAATGGCCGTTACAAATCTTCCTACGACATTGCTTGATATTACGCTTCTCCAAATCAAGGCCCTCATCACCAACCACTAATAAAGAAGGAGAATCCTCTGCCAAAGTATCCCTCACAAGCTGTAAATTACCACCTGGTGCACTCCAAGAACAAATAGCAGGGGAAATACTCTCCTCTTGATGCCGACGTTTTACCAAAGACCTACACTCGGAGCTACTCCGCGGGCGAAAGGTTTTAAGGGTGCATAGAGGTAACACCAACAAAGAAACCCAACTAGAAATGTCATCAGGCCTAGAAATCACCTTATCAAGGGCACCTTTCAGAACCCGAGAAAACCCCAAACGACACTTGGGAGGTATAGATTTTACAGTCCGAAACCCCTTGGAGAACAAACAGTCAAGGAGAGCCACATCAAAACCCCAAGGCTGATCATGCAAAAAACCACCTAGGCGCCCAAGCTGAGCCGGAGAAGAGGGAGATTGCGGCTTGGAGAAACCATGAAGCACAAAATGAACAATACCATCCCCTGCATCCGGGGGTGACACAATCTCACTCGGACTATGACGACACTTAGCACGATGCGTATGCGTTTTGTAGCAAACCCCACATAACCAAATCCCCATACGCGAAAAGGTAACTTCAGCCTCAGTATAAACGGCTAAATTAGAAGAAATAAAATGTCGTGTGATATCCCGCACACCAATACAAAAATGACGATCATAAAGATGCTTGATAAGAGAACTTTTAGTAAGACTGTTGCCACTTCCATCTTGACAACCACTAAGACCCACAAAGGGGCAATGACACTTCACCCGAACAGCCGACATTAGCTACACACGTGCAAACATGCTGCCACCACACAAGACCAGAATAACCCTTGCCAAAAACCAGAACAACTTGCCAAAAAACGAACCAAAATTTAACCTTAGCCAATCGCCCAGCAACTGCCGTAACTATGCACCAACTCCGCCAGAAACCACCTGAAACCAAAAACTTCCGCCAGTACCACCCCTTAAACCGACTGCCGAACACCTGCGAACAGCCTAAAAAGCTGCTCCAACCACCCCTTAAACCGCCTGAAACAACCCCTTAAACCTACGAACACCTGCTGCAAAAACCTGCGAACACCTGCTGCAAACTGCGTGAAACCACCCCTTAAAACGCTCGTCGAACACCTGCGAACAGCCCAAAAACCGCACTACAAAAACCGCCTCAATTATGCACCAATTTGCCCTGAAAATTCGCCTGAATTTCGCGTGAAAATCACCTGAACTTCGCCCAAAACCACCCTAAAATTTGACTGAACGCAAACCCAAGATCAAACTTGATAAACCATCGGAGAAGACACGCACCGATTATGCTTGAACTGCACGAAAAAAAAAAGCCCGAAATTGCACCAAAAAGCTGATGAAACTTCACCCAAAAACTGCCGGAAAAGAGTCGTGGAAGCCGCCTCGCCAACACCTGACCAGAACACAGAGGAATAATCGCCAGGAAAGCCGCCGGAAAAGAGACGTTTAGCGGCCGTTGAAGCAGCCCCCTTATCGCCTCTGTTTAGGGAGAAATTTGAATTATTATTATTAATATTATTATTATTATTATTATTATTATTATTATTATTATTATTATTATTATTATTATTATTATTATTATTATTATTATTATTATTATTATTATTATTATTATTATTATTATTATTATTATTATTATTATTATTATTATTATTATTATTATTATTATTATTATTATTATTATTATTATTATTATTATTATTATTATTATTATTATTATTATTATTATTATTATTATTATTATTATTATCATCATCATCATTATTATTATATTGTCCATAAGTGACCAGATTGTCCAAGTCCAAAAGATTGTCCAGAAGTTTCCAAATTGTCCAATCTCAGTCTAGAATCTAAAAAATTGAAAACCGAAAAACAAAAAATTGAAAAACAAAAAACGAACAAAAAATTGAAAAAATTTCTGAAAATTTGACAAAAAATTAAATATGAAAAATGATGATCTAGAAACAAAAAAATGAAAACGAAAAATGCATAAAAACGAAAAAAAAACCTAGAAAAACGAAAAAAACCATAAAACAAAAATCCAGACACGAAAAAAAACC